GGCCTTATTATAGTTTGAACCTTATACTTTCAGTATAAACCCAACTAGGATATGCTCTTTCCAGTAGGGGTGTCACAATATGCCAAGAGTGTATCACGATATATTGCAATACAGAATGAATATACTACAACAATACGTATCCCAACATATTGTCATAGGAAGGATCAGTGTTTTTTTTACCTCCATTTTACAACCACCTGTTCCTTTGCAATTGGGAAAATTCAAGATGTCATGCGCACAGCTCAAGGGCCAGGGTCACGAAGCCATGTTGGAAGGTTGGAAGGTCCCCCCCCCCCCCCCCCAAAACATTTTGAATTCTAGAAGCTCTGAGGTGCATTCTGATAGTTTTTGTAGAGAATTAATTGCTCTTAAAAAATGACATATTTCTTTATTCATTTTGTTTCTATTTAAAATTTGTAACAGTTTCTTAACAAAATGTAAGATGAAAATCATTGTCAAGATTAGAATTTTTGAAATCACAATTTTATTTAAGTCAAGGTACATGTACCACCAAATCAATCTCTTCTTTGTCCACTTCTCCATTCTGTGGCAGAGGGGTTACTGAACTTTGGGATATAGAACTTGACAGGAACAGGCAGGCAGTAAAGGCAATATTCATGTGTGTTGACTTGGCAATTTGCGAGACAACAGAAAAAATGGAGTGTTTCCTAGTTGACCTTTGGGACAGGAAAGACTAATTGGATGTGTCACAGGCGATGTATTTGTCATACAACAGTGTCACGCAGATGTGTGTCTCACAACACTATACGAAAAGCAAATTCCAATTCTGAAAGATGGTAAAGAGTTTTTTCACTTCTAGCAGATAAAAGCACAGATCAGGCACACACGATTCAACTAAGCAAATGACGGGATCGTCTCTGTGTCCACAAGACTTTGTAGCTTCCTTGAATGCATTGCTTATTTTAGTCAGTCCTTTGGAATCAATTTTTCTGATGTTTTCAGTGAAGTATTTTGAATTACGCGACATGGTGTAGAACCGGATGTCACCCACGATTCAAAGCAGTTGTCAATTTGACGCTTGAAATTCTGATGACCGTATCAAACGCTATTATGACTTAGATTCGAATATTTGGATTTGACTTCTCTCCCCTTGCTCAGAAACGGAAATTTCCAATTGCTGAAGTTATTATCGTTCGGGAGAACGCCTTATGTTTTTTAACATACACTTTAAACATGTTTTGATAAAATTATAGATTATAACAATAAGCAAACATAGACTAAATTAACAGGTATTCTATTTGGGAAAATGTGGGGTTTTTTTTGGGAAACTACTTCATTTTCAGACTAGGGGAAGCAGCCGTTAGACGGCTGTAGAACCGTAGATCAGGCCAAAAAAACCCACTAAGGATGTGCTCAATTTTATAATAAGTTGTTATCAGAATGTTATCAAACTTAATCATATATAATATGGATTACATAGATTTAAGATTTTTGTCAAAACAACTTATCGGCTACAAAATTTGAACAATTAAAAGCCTGCTTTATGCTTATTGGTATATCTGTTACAATTTGTAGTCATTTGCAAAGTTAAAACACCAAGCAGATACATGAAAATTAAATATGCTTTTGAAAAATATTGCAATACAGCAATATTTCATTTTTGTATTGTGGTACGATGCGATATACTTGTGTATTGTAGAGGTGTGTAAAAACACTAAACTCTGAAAATTTCGGCTTTTCCTTCTTATAAGAGATAAACATGATATGCATTTGACTATTTTCAATCCTAAATAATCATCTTTTAAACTGTAATTGACATCATTGTCAGTTAAACCTCAATTATGTGTCTCTGCGAGTTCCTGCCTGTCAATAGTATAAACCTAGACTCTTAGTAATACACAAAAATGGCGAACTTCGCGACTTTCCACATGTAATTTGGCACAATTGAACATCCAAAATTGAATATTGAAGGATAAGTTTACAGAAGAACAACGTTTCCCATCTCGGAGTACTAAAATTACAATACAATACATTGATATATTTTCCCAATCGCTGTACTTATCAGTTCAAATCGTTGGGATGACCTACGGTAAACCTTTGGTCAGTTCGAACAAAATTAAATAAATATTCATGAACCTGTTCGAATTATACGAAATTATGCTTCAGAAAATAAGTGCGAGTTTGAACTATCGGCAACAAATTCAGCTCATATGAGTATAATGTTATCAAAATATTGGATAATTGTTGAAAAAACGAATCCTTACCCATGCATAAACTCTTTTATGAAATAAACAAAGTCTGTCATGGGGAAAAAAAATAGAAACGACCGCCATGACAGATCACGAGTGATGTTATCTCAATTATCCTTTCTATATATGGCCTGCATGGCCAAATATAGTATTACTACTGATGCCGCCATGTTTACTACAATTTCCATATTGGGTCATGACACCCATATTTGGACGTCTGACCTATATCGGAAGAGAGACGAACTTTCCAACATGGCTGTCAATTCAGATTTCGATTACGTTTGCTACGTTAACTTGATAATTTAAGGACATTTTAGGCAGAGTTTAACTTTCAAGTTGTGCAGGATATCAACAGAAATACATCATACTACAACCCTATTTATGGATGCAGACCAGTGTGCTGTCAATTAATTCTAAAATCGCCCAAGTGTGATTCACACCGGGCTTTCTCCATTACAAGGCATGGGATTGATTTAATACCCGGCCAGGGTAGGAGGAGGCCGGGTATTAATATTAGTACTAATACCCGACATATCCAATGTAAGGTCATTACGTTGCATCGGTGAATCGTTACACCTCTAGTGTATTGCGATATACCAGTTTTCAGATATATTGTGACAGCCCTACTTTCCAGTTTTATAAAAGTCATAATTTAAAATCTATCATATGTAAATTATGTAGGATAGAATTTCCCACCCTAGGGTACATAATATGGGTTCATAAACCTTGGCAAGCCTCATTTTTTTGCCCCGAATCCTGTACCCTCACGCAGGACATTACTATCCTACATATATACCTATAATAGTCATAGAATCCTGGTGACAGTGGCGAAAACCTACCTGAACCTCCTGAAAACATCCTTAAGATGCCTCATACGGCCGGTGCCAGTTGTCCTCCTCCTCTTGGACTTCTCACTCCAATTGTCTGCAAGTACAAATTGTACGATTGATGACAATTAATGCAAACAGAAATTCACACTAGTCCATCTTTATGAACTGGCAGCGGTGAACGAACACCGACAGCTATACATATGGACAGGGGAGATGAAAATAGCATGCACGACAACAGAGAATTATTGCAATTAACTAACAGTATAAATAATTGTGCAAAAAGTTTCACGTTTTCAAATATATGAGACAAAGGTTCAAAGTTCTAGGGATTTTCCATACTATGAGGTTTAAATTCTTTAGCCCAAATGTTTACGTAGGCCTTAGGGCCAGGTAAGCAAATGAAATGTTAATCTATTTTCATTTTCAAAATACCTCACTTGATCACCAATTTCTTAGTTTCTAAACAACAAAGTTTCCTAAACTGCTCAAATGATTTAGGTTCTGTACTTACATGTCCTCTTCTTTGGACTAGGATATCCACATGAAGCACATACTTTTTTCTGGATATGAAATGAGCGGCGCCCACACCTCCTGCAATGGGTGTGGGTTTTATTGTGCCGCTTACCAAAGCTGGATGTTCCCTTGGTCTGTCAAAAATTGATGAAATAAAATCAATGACATAATTTTGTTTTAAGCAAATTGTCAATTTTGGTACAACATCAGGCTTAGACACTAACTAGTTTTGATTTGTAGAGTAGATTATAGAATAGATTATTACTTGTCCTATATCATTGTAGATAGTCCAAGAAAACGAAAATATCTCCATAAAACAAAAAGTAATAAATTATAGGAGACATAACAAGTACTGCTATGAAGACGCAGTGAATTTTTAGGAAAATTTGACAGTTGTTGTGCAGTATACGTGAATTGTTAACAGTTTTCCAAAAGGAATAATCTTAGAATATAATATATCTATCAAAAGATACTGCATAAACATGTTCAGTTTGGTGATTCACTATTCCTTGAAATTGATGTTGAAGAAATCTTCAAAGTTCACATATTTGTATGGCAAATGTTCATCAAGTTACATTACAACACAATTAACCAACTAGTTCAGACCCAGTAATCTACTACAATTCATAACCCTGAATCCGGTTTGCCTCGGGTTGATTCACCCTAATATGACTTTTAGGATGAATAAGATCCGACATAACTCCCCCACTCCATACTTTAAGTTCTTTCAGTACATCAATGTACATCTTTTACACAAGTACCTACGAGCTTAACAATACTGGGCGAACTGGATTGTGTCTAAACAATCGTTGAAGACCCTAACCTCTTCTCCCCTCAAGATTTCATCAAGTTTACTTCTAATAAAATCTGATAGGTCCGTTTCCATGATGAAATGCTGATTTCTTTCAATAATCTAACCTGTTTTGTTCGTTATTATATACTTCATGTGAAATTTTCCACATTTTTTTGAACGAAAGTTCCCAATTTGTCCGACAGTTGTATCGTCCGATTATACTCAAAAGTTTATGTACGCTTGAGGACTTTCGTATTCTTCAATATTTAAAATGTATGAATGACTTTCCTTGTCCGAAAAGGATTATTATCCTGGATGTCAAAGTTTATATCAATATTGCCTTTTCCGTCAACACAGTCATATTAATTTACACGAGAAAATTATTTTTCTTCGAACAAACACCTCTTTCAAAATAGGGTGTATTTTATAGAAACTATTACACATATGCATAAAATAATAGTGTAAATCGTAAGAATGCATTTCTATCAGTGCAATGAGCATACTATTATTTTGCAAACTTTATTTACGAAGGCGATAACAGCCGATTGAAAGTCATATGTTTTTCATCGCTCACCATGTTTATCCAGCAAGATGGCGAAAGGTCATTTCCGTTTTCTTGGTCCGTGACCCCGGCTTCTGACGTCACATCCTTAGTAAACTAACAACTTGTTTTGGCCACGTTGGAGCTGACACATAGCTGTCATTACGTAGAACAAAATCGGGTATATATATAGCTGTAGCCATGTATTCACTAAATTACATCTTGTTCAGCAACGACATTGACAGTAAAATACTTTCTTACTCTAAGCCATTCATCTTTTGGCCTCAAAATGATTGAAATTGATATTCCTCACGATATTTGTACAACAACGTTTGTTTGTGGGCCAAGTTTGTACACAAAACTGCCTGAAAAATTAACGTATGGTCTCGACCAAAGGTCAGATGTACCACCATCACTAGGAAAAGGTGATTTGTTGGACGAAGGGCTTATTTATACCCTAAAAAAGTTAGTTTGGAAATACAAAAAAGAAATGGGTGAACAGCAAGAGACGTTTGTGTCTGGTGGACTACAACAATACCTGATTAAACAAGAGTTAAAACAGAAGAGCCTAATAAACGGTCAGAAGGGTGTCAACCAGGATCATTCTTTATTCAACAAGTTACCTGTAAGTATATACATTTGTATAAGCTAAAGAATTTAAACCAAAGGGTCAAGTAAATGGATTTATTTCATTTTTTGTGTGTTTTATTTTCACCTCTTTCAGTCTTTGGGTAAAGAAAGATCTAGGACAGTCGCCTCAACCATTTAGAGAGAGAAAAAATTGGGAAAAGCCAGCTGTTCTAGGTCTGCAGAAAGCAATAGAACTTTTTAATAATAGCTAATATTTTTTTAAACATAAAAAATATTGGTATTTGAGCTTCAATGTTTCAACTAACCACTTTAATTTCCTCCACTGGAATTTGAAGGATTTCTTTTTATATAAAATCAACTACATCAACTATTCAATCTTTGCGTATTGCAGAGTTATCTTCTCTTGAGAGCAGGTATTGATTGTGACGTCAATTGTTTGTGAGAGTAACGTCATCAATTTTTGAGAAAACGACGTAATTTTCTCACACAAACCAATGGCGTAACAATCAATACCTGCTCTCAAGAGAAGATAACTCTGCAATACGCAAAGACGGAATATAAGACTTAAAATGTTCTGATGTATTCTTCAAACTAACAATACATTGACATTTTACAAGAAAAATAAATACATTTGTACTTTATTTCTCGGAAAAGTTGAACTTTTTCTTGGATGTGTTGAAATAGGAAAACACATTTTACTTGTGGCCAGGAATAAACAAGGCAAGTTTGTAAGGATTGTCTCTGTTCGCCAATATTTTTCATTAAAAGTTCAATGAAGGATTTATGCTTGGCTGAACACCGCACTAATCTATCAATTAAAACGTGACTAAAATAACACAATTGGTATCAATGCTGTTGCAATATTATTGTTTTCTATCTTTTAGAAATTTACAAGTGCACTTAGAATCAATATTGAGTATGTCTTGAGAGAAATTTCGTTTGGTTTGCAGGTGGATGTGAAGCTCCATATATTTTCGTATCTTGGAATACAGGACCTTTGTCGGATTAGTGGAGTGTGTAGGGACTGGTATGATGTGAGCCAAGACAATCTCTTGTGGCAGGAAAAACTCACACGTAACATCCAGTCCTGGAATATGATTTCTCATCTCACCAATCCAGCCCTTTACAGGGAGGTACAGTCGGAGTGGTCCAATAAGGAAATGTAAGTTTCAGGGCATTCAACCTGTTTTGTACTTTGTAACAATACATCATAAAAGACCAAGTTTTACTGTAATGGTAATGTTTTTTAACTGTCATTTTAATAATATTTACATTGTGCTGTAATGGTTAAATAGTTTCACAGAAAAGAAGTTTTAAAATTTTGATTTCATTTGCATGACCTGTTATTGAAACAATGTTTTTCAGATTTCTGAGATGTTCTCCCGAAATCAACAAAATTATTCATGAAAAAAACTCCATGCTGACAAGCATATCTAATATGCTTAGATATTTCTTTCCAAAGAAAGTGTCAAAGATTGCTATGTTTGGTCCAGGCCTTGAGTCTGAAAACACAAGTGGTTTAGTCCGACAAATGCTGACCGCGAAGACATTGTTAGAACAAGTGGGAATGGTACCAGGACAGTTTGATGGTGTGTACACTATAGATTATAAATGATATTAATTCAGCAATAATCAAGATCATAGTTAGAAAATTTCCATCTCAACAAACATATGTTGCAAATTTGGTAAAATTTTGAAATAATTAAAAATGAAAATATGTATCATAATTTTTCATAACCAATTAAATTTAAGAAAAGAAATACTTGTTAATGTTCATGATTATCACAAAGCATGCATTATACATCATACATGTATATATACTTAATATATTGAAAGGAATTTAATTGTGTGTTAGACTTGTATGTTTTGTTAGGCATTTCATTTGTTAAATTATTCATTGTAATATTACAGTAAATACATGTGCAATGTAACATGATATAGAGATATGTAGTTTTCATACATCTTTGCATGACCTATTTGTTATAAAGGTGTTGGATCAGGCTGGCTTCTGAAGATGGCAGACTGCACAAATTTTCAGCTGTCAGTTCTGTACTCTGCTTCCAAATCTGTCAGACAGCAACCAGGCTGGGACCGTATCCAAGGCAACAACCTATTGCAGGTATCTAAGCAAGATGTCGGACAAGAGGGGGTGGAGCTCAAGCCAGCAGTCAAAGATTTCTGTCGTACTGTCGACGCTTTTATCTACGTAGTAGATTCAACATCAACAGCTACTCGTAAGTCAAGTTGTTGATCAAATGTAAAAAACAGCAGAAATTATATTCTTTATTGATAGACTTCCAATAAGAAACTTTGTCAACCTTGAAATTAGCAAAAGTTTCAGTGTTTCTTTAGTTAAAATGACATGTTTATGTTTAAGGTGAAGGAAATGATGAGTTCTACACCATGGTGAATGAGCGCTGGTCAGCCACACATGTTCCGGTTCTAGTATTATCTTGTGTTAAGGATTCCTCTGCCACTCGCATTCCCAGTATCAAGGTTGTGGAGACTCTTGGAATGTCCAACATGAACAGACCTTGGCAGGTAATTAAATTAAACAGATGTATGATTGTTATTTAAGGAATATTCTAAGAATGTAACACCTGTTCATTAAAATTTCATTTTTTTTAATACACATTTACACATGTATTGACATAGCTAATGTAAACTCCTATTTTATTTGCAGGTGCGAAACTGTGAGTCTGAGAATCTGACCGAGGTTTTAGAAGGAATTCGGTGGGTTGTTGAACAATCACATAGACGATGAAAGTTGTGTTAAGTAACAAACAACTACATGTCAACCCGATATGTGACAGGCCGGACACATGTCCCAAAATGGCTACGAGTCAAACGGATCGGAGAAGTGTGACGTCCGCGTCCGATAGTCAAAATATGTGTGACTAGTCACATCTGAAGACCTTGATGTCATCATATGCAAAGAAGATCAGAAAAGGAAACAAGTTCATACAAAGTTCATGAGTCCCCTCCACGTTGTCGTCTGAGGTTAGGTCAGTCTGTTGTAATATGTGAGGGTCTAACCTTGCTACATTGAGCCTACAAAAACTGTTGTAATAGTCATTGAAGACTGCACTTAAAAGTCTCATTTAACAGGAATCACACTTACCATAGATTTTTATGCACACGATTCCTATTCTTGGTCGAGTAAGAACTGTGTCGGGAGCAGTGAAATAAATACTTCTCTTGTCCACTGTGCATTTAATGAATACTCTGTAAGCTTTGTCACCAAATATTTGAAGATTTACAGCTAGCCTTCAGAACTTGTTAAAAAATAAATGTCATGCATTCCATAAGGTTTGCCCAAATCAGTGTTCAGTAAAGTACATTATAATTTGAAATATATCAAGTATCACTACATATTCAAGACAACAGTTTGTACATGCTCATTCTGACAATGTAATGGTATATGTTACAGACTGTAAGGTCTCTGTACTGAAGATCATTAATATATATATATTAACAGTATATTTAGATTTTAAACTGAATATTGTACCTCTGATATGGTTGGTTGTGATTTAGATCAAACTGTTACATTGATTTTACAGCAAAATCTTGTTTAAAAATTATATGAATGATAACTATATTGTTTTCTTTCATGAATATAAAAGCAAAGGTCATCAATGATTCCCTGGAAATTATTAACACTAAACATGATTGTAGTACAGTATATCCATGTCCGTTCACTTTGATTTTAGTTTGAAATTGAAAAGAAAGTAATGAACTCTGTGCCAAAGATATGTTTAACCCACCCAATGGCAGCAGTAATGAGATTATTTTATGGGTATGCGATACAAGTTCATGCAGTAAGTACAGTAGCATATATGTTACGGCATGCAACTGTATACTTAACTTGTATTTAATCATGCCATGTTCTTCAGCAGTAACCAATATTTTCATATTAACTTTTGTGCCACAAGAACATTTTGTATGTTAGTGTAGACAGATATAATGTTTATCAGTTCTATTGGAGTATTCCCTACTATGTATATATTAGATTATGAATGGATATTAACTTGTTTCCAGATAACTTTCCATTATATCAGTGCCATTGTTTTACGTACTATTGATTTAAAACAATGTTGTATCTCAAAGCTAAAATATTTCAGTTTAATATCATTGTTGAACAGGATACTAAAGATAAAAGATAACACTATTTTTGTGGTTATTTTGACCCTAATCTTCCATTTTCTACTTTTGTACTGCTCAAGTGACCAACACATGCTTGTGGAACAAATATATTCTTAAAACCATGAAAAATTGTTTGAAAAAAGTAGAAAGAAGTAGTATACTACTTTTATTATTTTCAATCAAAATTAACTAAAAACAAATAAAATCTTTTAATTATCTCCCTTGTGGAAAGTTAACACTCTTTCAAACAAACTTTAAAGATATAAGCTCATCAAAGATCATGTGGCCTCAAACAGAATTTAGCATATAACCCTACAGATAACGATATTGGTCCACATGGTACAGAGTCAGTAATTACACAGAGCCTGATACCTTTGTATTCCTTTCACATGGTAAGTATACCTTCCATCGACAGAAGCCGGAATTATTTGAATTTCAATAATTTAAACTTATAGTAATATAAATATGAATGCAAAATTGATGTACTGGGTCAAGACCAGATGCTTCTTTGAGTTGTAGATTATATTGTATCATTGTGCTCAATAGAATACATACATATGCAGATAAACTAAAATGAAGCGGAAATATTCTATGCAAGGAGCATGCTTTTTACAATAGCCTAGCTATATAGGCTAGTAAAAGTGCTTGATATTTATAATGTTAGAATGTTTTTTTATAATATGCTAATTTAATTGCTGTGAGGATGCACTGTGATATAAATTGTTATAATAATAAATATATTTATACATTGTTTATTTTTTACACGAATATGATCATTACATAATAAAATTTGATGGTTATGCAACATGTGCTTGTTTTTGTCACTCATTCTAACTAATTATGGCTACCATATATAGTACCTGCAATTGTATACGACACTAGTAAAATAAAGCAGTTTCCTACTGGCTTCCGGCTAAGGAGAATTTCTCGGTCATTCAGTAGGGTGTCTGACTAGTAAAACTAGAGACTTTTCCAGAAGCATAACAAAGACAAGAATGATCATAAATGACTCTTTTATTTCTCTGCACCACCAGACCAGCTGTGTGATCCATCTTCTTTTCCAGAACACATGCCTAGGATGGTATGAGCCAATTGCCTTGCTAACTTTTACAAAGCATGAGATTGGCCTAGGACCACCGATCACTGTACATATCATTTAGCACTTAATTTTGGCAACTCGAGCATTATTTAACCCTTTCACCACTGTAGACCATATTGGACTTATCAAGATCAATGCATGGAAGAGTCTACTAAAGTTGCATAGGGATGAAAGGGTTTAGAAAAAAGAATTGGCATAAAACATCTTATCTCGCTAACAAGATGCGTTTGGAAGCGTTGTCTTGAGCCAGAATGAAATAATGACTCTCAACAAAACAATTGTTATACAGATTCTGAACTTTGCAAAAGTTTATCTACATGTATTATGAAAAATAATGATCTCTGTTTTATTGATTGACTAATGATAAATACCGAATTAAAATTGAGGTTTGCTTTAGCCAAGCAAAATCCTTTTTTAACAAATCCAACACATCAGAAATTAGAGTACACACAGTTACATTGCAGCTGATATAAGTCAATTCTAGTTCCTTTCAACATCTGTTACTTCCTCTCTCATTGGTTGACTACCAAATCGGTAGTACTGTATATTAATTTTGTTATCCAGTTTCTCATTGGTTGGTGTTGCATGCCTGTATTAACACCTTGTGAGATGGCCAGTTATCTGGTATTTGAGGAGATAACTACTGGACACATACACATAAGTCAAGCACCCACGGGCTGCTGACCTGATTCAATAAGAATTATTCCATCTTACTTCCAATGATGATCATCCATCTTTTTTCAGTGACAAGTACATAACATTTTTGACCATCTCCTTTTTCGGGCTGATCTTTTTCAGGAGGGTTGCTATGGCACTCATCATGGCATCCTTGGTCATGTTGACACGTTTGGATTTAAATTTGTGTAGGAGTTCTTTGGTAGTCATTGGTTTCCTCATCAGGTATCTCCTGATTGATTCCTCTGTGATACCACCACTGAAACAAGACAACAGGGTATACAGATAAATAAACACAATACCACTACTGAAACAAGACAACAGGGGATACAGATAAAGTAAAATACAATACCACTCCTGAAACAAGACAACAGGGTATACAGATAAATAAACACAATACCACTACTGAAACAAGACAACAGGATATACAGATAAAGTAAAATACAATACCACCACTAAAACAAGACAACAGGGTATACAGATAAAGTAAAATTCAATCCCACTACTGAAACAAGACAACAGGGTATACAGATCAAGTAAAATACAATACCACCACTAAAACAAGACAACAGGGTATACAGATAAAGTAGAATACAATACCACCACTGAAACAAGACAACATGGTATACAGATAAAGAAAATACAATACCACTACTGAAACAAGACAGCAGGGTATACAGATAAAGTAAAATACAATCCCACTACTGAAACAAGACAACAGGGTATACAGATAAACTAAAATACAATACCACTACTGAAACAAGATAACAGGGTATACAGATAAAGTAAAATACAATCCCACCACTGAAACAAGACAACAGGGTATACAGATAAATAAACACAATACCACTACTGAAACAAGACAACAGGATATACAGATAAAGTAAAATACAATACCACCACTGAAACAAGACAACAAGGTATACAGATAAAGTAAAATACAATCCCACTACTGAAACAAGACAACAGGGTATACAGATAAAGTAGAATACAATACCACCACTGAAACAAGACAACATGGTATACAGAGAAAGTAAATACAATACCACTACTGAAACAAGACACAAGGGTATACAGATAAAGAAAAATACAATACCACCACTGAAACAAGACAACAGGGCATACAGATAAAGTAAAATACAATACCACCACTAAAACAAGACAACAGGGTATACAGATAAAGTAGAATACAATACCACCACTGAAACAAGACAACATGGTATACAGAGAAAGTAAATACAATACCACTACTGAAACAAGACAACAGGGGATACAGATAAAGTAAAATACAATACCACTCCTGAAACAAGACAACAGGGTATACAGATAAATAAACACAATACCACTACTGAAACAAGACAACAGGGAATACAGATAAAGTAAAATACAATACCACCACTGAAACAAAACAACAAGGTATACAGATAAAGTAAAATACAATACCACTACTGAAACAAGACACAAGGGTATACAGATAAAGTAAAATACAATACCACCACTGAAACAAGACAACAGGGTATACAGATAAATAAACACAATACCACTACTGAAACAAGACAACTGGGTATACAGATAAATAAACACAATACCACTACTGAAACAAGACAACAGGGTATACAGATAAATAAACACAAAACCACTACTGAAACAGAACAACAGTATTCAGCTAAAAAAAATACAAACCACTACTGAAACAAGATAACAGGGTATTCAGATAAACTAGAATACTGACAGGTCAGCAAGGGCCCTGGTGTATGCCTGACTGTATCTCCCATATAAGCACCAAGCAAAATCAAAAGTGACTGTTCAGAAAGGACCTTTTACAATACATTTTTGACAGTATAGGCCCTGTTCTATTTTAAAGTAACGGCAACGTTGACCTTCAAAACTTTTTAAAGCCCTATTGCACATGTACCATCTTGTGAAATTTCAGAAAATTTGGCCTTCTGTAAAGGCCTTATATATCAGATGTATTTTGACAGTATATTCCCGTTTCTGCTTTTAGTAACATCAACCTTGATCTTAGGAATTTTTTAAACCACTAATGCACATCTGCATAGAATTATAGTGTATTATCTTGAGAAATTTCAGAAAGTTTGGCCTTCTGTTAGGGCCTTATATGATGTAATTGTGACAGTATATTCACAATTCTAGTTTTGGTAACAGTGACCTTGACCTTAGGAACTTTTTGAACACCTATTGCACATCTACATAACACAGTGTATCACCATGTGAAATTTCAGAAATTTTGGCCATCTGGATCATTGAATAATCTCCGGAGGCGAAAGGCGCTGACGGACAGACAGATGGACGGACATCGTGATTACTATGGGGCACCCGCATTTTGCGGGGCCCTAATTAACATGAAGACACCACTGAAAGAGAACAATGATATTCAGATAAAGTAAAATATGATACCACCACTGAAACCAGACAACAGGACCAATGATACCACCACTGAAACAAAACAGGACCAATGATACTACCACTGAAACAAAACAGGACCAATGATACCACCACTGAAACCAGACAACAGGACCAATGATACCACCACTGAAACCAGACAACAGGACCATCAACTACAGAAGCACGACACCACCAATGAAACAGAAGAACAGGGTAGTGGTGGATGGAAGTGGAGAAGCTGCTGAGTAATGTGAAGTTTGGTCCGCAAGACCTGTTAGTGATTATTCAATATATATTTGTAAAAATTAGTATATGGATGCTATACTTAAAACAAACATTTTCATCCAAGCTCTTTTACAAACAGAAATGTATCATAAGAAAATGAGGTTGGTACAGATGGTACTGTATGTTTTGGAATGTAGTTGAACGCGTGTGAGGATGTGTGTTTGTGTGGTTGAGGGTTTGCGCTGGAGAGGATGAGCGATGATCTTAGTCAATTTACCTTGATGACCCATGGGCACCTAAACTTGGACTATCTGTTCTCATCTTCTTTGAAACCTGTGCCTCAGTCTCCAGCTTCCTCTTCAGTGCTAAAAAGACAGTGTACATGGTGAGAAACACATCCTAGAAACAACTGCTGCTGTAAGTTATAATAAATCTGCGTATTTTATCTGTATGCATGTACACAATTTTAACAATGTTATGTACTTTCAAAACTTTACAAGTGTATAAAACATTGTGTCTTTACATCCTTTACTAGTTATTACAACCTTAATATAGTATCTTCAGCAACTTTATTATTTATTCCAAATAACTCATCTTTTCAAATTAAAAATTTAAAGTTATTACAACTAATTGTATCTTTGCAAACTTTCTGTTATCCAGTACTTTATAATTTAGTATCACTTTTAATATTTTATTATTTATATATATAATTACCCAGTACGTACTTAACCATTTAGTATAACTTTTAATATTGTATCTTTACCAACAACGTTCATCAGTTACTAAAGAAATGATTCTATCATTACTTATGTACTTTACTAGTTATCCTAGTTGATTGTATCTTTAGAAACTTTCACTGTTCCAGGTACTAAACAACTTAATATTGTATCTTTATTGGTACAGTCTTTACTGGTGACAGCAATACATTGTGCAAATCTGCATCAATTTCAGAAGTTTTATGCAATAGAGTGAAATGTGTACATGATGGCTTACAGTTTTTATCCTCAGTTTCTGCTGATGAAGGTGTTGCAGCACGAGGGACTGGAGAGACACGCTTTTCTTTTTTCTGTAAATCATTAATAGCAAATCTGTTCTTAACACAGTAATTGAGGTCAATCAATTCTACCTGTATACATACTACATGACAGTGTTTGTTATAATATAAAATAATTAGTTAGTCATGGAAGCAAAAGTAGATATATTGGCACAACTTTCTAACACAGCTATATCGATACATATACAGAGGCCGTGTGAAAATAATAAAAAAAAACCATTCAGCATCAAAAAACAGCAAAATTCGTAAATGAATACTTTTTTCTCAGTTTTAAAATAAATTTTCAAATATATTTGTTCTTATTTACACTTGCAGATGTCATAAAGACAGACATTTTCCTATTCCATACCTGCATAAATATAGCTGATGATATCTTCTCATCCTTCTCAATGTCTGAATCACTGTCGGAGCTGGAGCTGCTACTGTCACTGTCAGATCCTGACGACACAAGGGTGAGATAAAGGTCATAATCATACATACAGATTACAGTGCTTTAAAATCATGTCTAGCCCACAGATCTGGATGGCTGGTAGGCACTGTATGACAACAACAGTGTGACGTCATGTTTAAAATTACGCCATGCTTCTGCGAAAGTTATTGACACTTCTCAACACCACAGTTAATACAAATTACAATGCAGTAATTAGCTAACACCCTATCAGTAACTACCGATTAACAATAGCTCTACTGCAATTTAATTGAAATTATTTGCAGTCACGATCGAGGGACCGTGTTGTTTTTACTCCTCAACACAAGGTGTGAAGCCCTACTGCACTGTTAGAACTAGACTGATTTGACCGTAAAGGGATTATAAAAAATATGTTTATACTAGAAGCGTAGACATTCAATACATCCCCTTCAAATCTACTCGAAGGGAGAAAAATAGAAGCAGAATACAGTATTTTTACGATGCTTCATTTTAAAATATTGAAATCATTCACGAGGTTATCGATCACGTGTTTACTTAGCGTTAGACGCGAGATCAACATGAAAGTGAGCCGGGAAAATACATGCACACTAGGCTTAGCGATTTGTTAAAACCAAAACAGAACTAACATGGAACGGAGCCTATAATTGAAACACTACATTTTCATAATTATGGGAAAACCGCTGAGATGTCGAAACATAAGTTGATCAGCGATTCTCTGGCATCGGAATTAGCTACACTTTCTTTGTTTGGTTTTCCCATACCCACTAGATACTGAAACAGACAAATTCTGCAGGATTTGTCCAACAGCCACTTGTTTCAAGCAGTACGGAGGAAGACCTTCATGGGCTGTTCACTCCAATAAATAAATCCTTAATTAATCTGCATTATAAACACCAAGCTAACTTTGATGCTACTTTTCCAGATTGATACCGGTTATTTTAAGGATTTTTTGTTCATTTTTTTTCCATCTTTATTTTTTCAAATATGACCCCAAAAACGTACCTGTGCACTATACCCGAGTGCACACTATACCCACATATTTACAGTTTAGTAAACTTTACTTCCTCCCCAAGGGAGAACGGATGGCCCTTGGGTCCTGAAATTTAGAATTTAAATGAAGCCCCTGATGATCTTTCCATCCACACAGAGAAATTGACTGTAGTACCTCGGAGTCTGGAGAAGAAGAATTTTGAAATATTGGTTAATTTTCCCTTTGGGGCCCTGCCCAGGCCCCAGGGGTTAGGGTAGGAATCCCAATTTAACAATTTTGTAGCCTCATCTACCAAGGATAAGTCTGACCGAGTTTGAAAAAATTCCATCCATTGGTTCTTGAGAAGAGGTCGAAAATGTAAAAAGTTTAAGCATGACGTACGACGACAGACGGAAATCGATCATAATAAGTCACTTGGGCAAAGCTCAGGTGACCTAAAAAGGCAAGTCTTATTCATCATTCTTGTGAGCAGACTAAGAAGTTTTCTTGCCGAATTTTTCAAATCTGGATCACATCTCCTTATAAACACAAAGTGTCACACCTTCAAGATTGAATATTTTAACATTTTGTACCATCTTTCTTTTTCTTTTCCTTCTTTGCCGCCTCTTCTTTTTCTTTTTCTTCTTGTTTTTTCTTTTCCTCTTCATCTTCACTGCTCTCATCAGAGTCTAAGAGTTTCTTCAACCCTCTTTCCTCGTCCACTCCCTTTTCCTGGTAGTGGTCGCTTTTCTCACGATCACCAGTCTCCGACAGACTACTGCAAAACGAACAAAGGATTGTCACTACAGAGTAGAGATCTGCTAGAGGAGCATGCATAGTTCCAGTGTGAAATTAAATCAGAAGCCTGCAATCTTTGTTGGTGTGGTGAAGATCGATAACTATGGACTAGAATCCTCTTCTCAAACATGCAGCGGAGAACCACACACCAATGTTTTGAGATGCGGTTATGACAGTTATCAATTTATCAGTGTTTAATATAAGTACACATGTGACATATACGACTAACCCCCAAGTTAAATCAGATGTTAGAAAAAATTATCTCAGAAGTGAAGTATAAGGAAACTGAGTTACCCACTTAGTTGACAATGACAACTGATTGTGTCATCTGTGCGTATTAAGGTCTTTAAGTTATAAACAACCTGTCCGAGTCTGTAATGTAGTCAAGCTCCCGGTCATCAAAGTCTCCCTCATCACTCTCCTCCACAGCCTCATCATCTGAATTATGTTTAGCAGTCTTCTTCGGTTTTGCACCCCTCTTTGTTTTCTTTTTAGGTTTTTTATCTTCAAACAATCAAAACATCAGTCAAACTCAAGTCAAATACTGAAAATCACTTCATTTTTTTACAACAATTTACTATTTAACTCATTTTCAGATTTGATCTCACACTTTGAAATATATCACGAATATGAATATTCATTCAAAAACAATGAAGCAAAGGCTTTGTACCTATGATTGTTCATGTCATAAATTACATCAAAAATATTGACGCAATAGATCACAAAAAATATTTATCTACAGTATTTATATCTGACATCAAAGTCATGTGCTATTACACTAAAAGTTCCATCACATACTCTTCTCTTACCTTCACTCCCCTTGTTTTCATCTTCATCATCATAGCCATCATCAGACTCTTCTTCTTCATCATCCATATCATCTGTCAGTAGCTGTATATCATAAAGATAAAAGAAAATGTCTGTACGAAATGAACCTTGACCCCCTGGTTGACCCATAAACAGCAGTAGAAACCTTGGTGATGAACTTGAGCGTCGACCACACAAATTGACTACATTTAAATGTAATATTTTAGGAATAATACCTGGCAGACCTTCAAATGTCATATGGATGGAATAAAATTTGTGGATATAGAAATTTGTGCTATTTGATTTTTTTATTGCCAAAAAAGATGGCTTATGAAGGCTATGAAACTGACAGACAATACTTGATATTTATTAGTTGTGAATACTGAAATCAAAGGTGGTTTATGAAGGCCATGAGACACACACTCAGAAGTTAATGATGACACCAACAAACTTACAAATCCTTGTTTCTTCTTTTTCTGTGATTTTTCCTTTACTTTCTCTTCTTCGTCCAATTTTGCGTTGTCAGCATCCTCTTCATTTTTAATTCTTTTCCGTACCATGATGGAAAAATAATTCAAAGTTTTGTCCCTCCTATAACAAACATTTAGGAAACATACGAAAGTGTAAAAATAACCAAAACAGTATTCACAAGGTTCTAATTCCAAACCAGACACTTTGTTATTACATAACATAAATCGTAACAAATAGTCAATTCTAAAATATTCATGGAACTACAAATGTTAGCATTTTAATTTGGTCATTGAAATATTGAGTTCTGGCTTCAATTAACTTTTCTTCAGACTGAAGGCATGTGGTCAGTCTTATAGGTCACAATGCTGGAGGCAAACATTAAAACTCATTAGTATTCATTTTCTATTAAATATGTTAAAAAAATATTGATATTGAAATCTCTGGCAATTCTTGTACCTGGTGAACTCCTCCTCAGCCTCCTCAGAGTTGAGGTACTTGTACTGGACCATCGGTGAGAAGTTGTACCACTCCTCTATCGGGAAAGCCTCGAAGGCTCCGTCTGGACACTGTGTAAATATATAGTAGGATGTGTTCTCTGCTATTGTCCCTTCTCGTACACCTTTGAATCTACAAACATATAAGTAAACTGCTGAGTGTACGGGTCACACACAAGTATACAGCCAGTATGAGTGTACAAGTCAATGTCACACTGTGACACACAAGTATACAGCCAGTATGAGTGTACAAGTCAATGTCACACTGTGACACACAAGTATACCGCAAATATGAGCATGCGTCACAAACAATTATACAGCCAGTATAAGTGCCTGTGTCACCTTTAAGTATACACCCAAAATAATCACACACAATTTTTGGATATCAGCCACACACAAGTTAAGCATACAGCCAATATGGGCAGATGAGTGATATCATTTTAAGGATATCACTCAAAGTTTAATCTTCATAAATTATACTTTTGATTTTATTCACTGATTTTATAATTTTACAACAAAGAAGTATTAGAACAAACCATTCTTTGTTTAAAGAAGCAAAATTATGTACATTCTGTAATACATTCAATATGTAATACAGAAAATTTCCTTTTTCTTGTAAAAAATAACTGTTATAACAACATCTGTGACAGTTTGTTTATAAAACACAGACCATATCTAAACAAGAGGCCCAATGGGCCTGCATCCCTCACCTGGTATTAATCTCACAATTGTAACCTTAAAAGTGTACTAAAAATAAAGCTACATTCAAAATATCAGTGTCTTGACTTCAAATCATTCAGAAGAACCTGTTGAACGATTTAAACACATTTGACCCCTGTGACCTTGAAAGTCAAACATGAACATTAAGTTGAACAAACATTATAGCCCTTCATCCCAGAATGGAACTTGCCAAATATCACCACCCTATACCTTTTGTTTATTGAGAAGATGACTTTTAGAAGATTTATGCACTATGGACCAGATGTGACCTTGAAAGTGTGTCAAGGTCATTCACATGAACAAGCAATCACCCTGGATGTCATTCATCAGAAGTCATTGAAAGATTTCAACATATTTGACATCTGTGACCTTGAATATGGGCAAAGGTCATTCATTTGAACTTGGTAGCCTGGCCCTTCATTCCGCCACATGCTACTGGCCAAATATCATCATCCTGGTCCTTTTGGTAATTCAGAAGAAGTCGTTTCAAGGTTTTTAGACAATTGACCCATGTGCCATTGAATTGGGCAAACGTCATTCATTTGAACAAACATGATAGCCCTTCATCCACACATAATACTGACCAAATATCATCACCCTGGAGCTTTTGGTTATTCATCAAAAGTTGGTTAAAGGTTTGTACGACAATTGCCCCCTGTGACCTTGAATATGGGCGAAGGTCATTCATTTGAACAAACTTGGTAGCCCTTATTCGCCACATGCTACTGGCCAAATATCATCATCCTGGTCCTTTTGTTTATTCAGAAGAAGTTGTTTCAAAGGTTTTAAGACAATTGATCCCTGTGACATTGAATATAGGTGAAGGTCATTCATTTGAACAAAGTTGATAGCACTTTATCCAAGCATGCTACTGGTCAAATATAAACACCCTAGGCCTCTTGGTTATTCAGAAGGTGTTTAAGAATTTAACATATTTGACCCCTGTGACCTTGATATGGGTGAAGGTCCTTCATTTGAATAAATTTGGTAGCCCTTAATCCAAACATGTTACTGGCCAAATATAAACACCCTAGGCCTCTTGGTCATTCAGAAGTTGTTTAAAGATTTTAACATATTTGACTTGTGTGACCTTGAAAATGAACAAAGGTCATTCATTTGAACAAACTCGGTAGCCCTTCATCCGAGCATGCTACTGTATAAATATCATCAGCCTGGGCGTTTTGGTTATTCAGAAGAAGTTGTTTAAAGTAAAAAGCTGATGCCGGACGGACGCCGAACGTCGGGCCAAGTGAGCTAAAAACAGCTTATTACATCACAGTTTGACTAAGATACACACTTTTTAGCTTCTTTTGCTTTTCCCACTTTCATTAACCAGGGTTGGTTGTTTGGAACATATCTCTTCATCATTATGCCATATTTTTTTCGTCTGGCTGTCTCTTTTTGTTCACGGCCAAATTCACTCCCCGCCCCAAACTTTGGCATCATATCAATGCCATGGGCAGTCTTATATTCCTTCAGGTTGTTTTCTCTCTCCATCCTCACTGGTGTTTGCTGTAAACCAAACAACATGCTCAATATTAAAAGAAAAGGAGGCTAGAAACTTAATCATTTAAATTATATGAAAATTAGTATTCAAATTTTAGATGGATTCATTATATATATAAATTAATGTTCATTGCTTGATACATCTACATTGTATGCTGAAGTAAAGAATAAAGGTATCAACATAATCTTTTTAATTCAGTAATTTAGTATTTTAAACAAGACAATGTTGGACAATATCAGTTATACACTTCACCACTATGTTGCATTTCTTGTTCTTTTATAGCTGCAATACACAGTATCACCTTAAAAAGTTTGCACTTTCAATGAGGTAAATTCCAATTTGTGCTGATAAAAAACTTACAGCAGTCTCATTCATTCCACAGAGACTAATTAGGAAAGCTTTTGTAGAAATGGTAACTGTCAACCTCAATATTTTCATTAACAAATTTGCCCTATGGATTTTTATAATCAGCTTCCTAAACTGTATTTAAACTATATGTATACAGTACCATCTGCCCCCCTCCCCACTCCCAATGTCAAATCTGTCCTAGATCTGAACTAATGATGATAGGAAGATGAAAAGGGAAAGTGCCTGGTATGATGTATACATTTTTCACATAACCAGGCAATTACCAGGCATGGACAGTGGTGTATAACATGTACAACCATATATAGCAACAAAATTTTACCTCCTGAGCAAGCTTGGCAAAGTCTATATTTGCCCCTGATGAAAATTTCATCATTCTGTACTGCTTTTGTCGATCTCTGGAAAAACATGAAAAAGACATTTATGCTTTTACATTTTCTAAAACAACTATATATAGAACAAGAAATTCATGTACAGAATAATTTTGTTAGTGTTAAACAAACTGATAGTTCAACTCTTTAGTAAGAACCTGGGGTGTCCCCCTATTGCTTATCTGTAGCTAATCTGTGCACGTGTACATGTGGAACCTTGCTATAACGATGAGCGATCACATAATTTCTATCATGTTGCCTCAAAACAAGATTTTGCTGAAAGTGAAAATTCAATCTCATATAGTAGACACATAGCCAAAATGTATAGGTAAGACCGAGATAAAACATGTTCACGTACTTATACATCACATTTTATAATGATCCATGTGTATTTTTCCCGATAATCATTCGTTCTTTCCACTGGAACAGAATATGCTGCAGAAATCTGTCAACAATGAACCTATCAAATGGCCTACATATGCCATGGGTTAGTCAATTTGACACATATTCAACTAGCCAAACCAGCTGAAATTTCTTAATGCCTAATTGAACCTTCTTATTTTGAAAGTACATTTACAGGTTTTCAAGGATTTTGGAAAGTTTAAATAATACCAGATATTAATATAGATATTAAATAATTAAAAAATATAGTATCACTGCCAGGATGGTGTCCTGTATCATACTTTTGATGTGCTTGGCTGCTTGCACATTATTAAAGAAGAAACTCATCACTTGCCAATTACAAGAATATTAAAGGTCCCAGCAAAATATATCTACTGTCTAGCATGATATATATATGAAACTTTAATTTCCAACCACAGCCAATTGCAAACAGCCATTGGACTAATTGGCCAATTCTATTCCTAGTGTAATGCATAAATGAACCAATGCAACTTCAACTTACTTTGGGACTCGGACCACATACTCCTGTGTGCTATTGGAGGAGCCACTAGGCTGGAAATAAAACATAAATATTTTTTTAATTTAAGTAAGGCAATAGAGCCAACGTCAGGTGTAGGTTTGTGTGTTGATCAGAGGGGTGTTTTGCTTTGAGTACGGATACCAAAATAAAAGGTACATGTATGCAGGGTGATAACAGAATACAGACAAAAATAAAGACTAGAAAATGTATGTAAGACATAAATGCCCCCGCTCATGGATGGGACAGGAAGGGACGCGACAAGTTGGTATGGGGATGGGACAGGGCGGACATGGGCAACACAATTCCCCCCCCCCATTTTATGGCGGGGGCATAAAAATGGATATAATCACAACATACTCATGGACCAATAAGTGGGTTTTAAAGTTTATTTTGGCAGACTAGTTTGTCTCTAAAGTTGAAGCTTCATCAGGATGACTTACAATTTTTATATATTGCGTTGACTCTTTAGAGCTATATGCACCGGTCCTTTGCCAACTGATATAATGGAGCAAAATAAAGAGTGTCCTATCTATAAGATTATGTAAAATTGACGCTTCATATGAGTATAATGTAATCAAAACAATGCATAATTGTTGAAATAACGAATCCTTACTAATAAAATAACTCTTTCACATAAGTAGCCAAGTCTGTCTTGAACAAAAAGAAATGACTGCAATGACAGATTACGTGTGATGTTATCTCAATTATCTGTTTCTTTATATGACCTGGCATGGCCAAATATAGTGTTATTACTGATGCCACTACACGGATTCCATATTGGGTCACGACACCTTAACACATAGACATCTGACCAACATGACTGTCAATTCAGATTTCCATTGCACTCGCTACGTAAACTTGATAATTTAACAATATTTTAGGCAGCGTTTGACTTTAAGTTACATAGAAGATCAACAGAAATAGTTCATATTGCAAACCGGTGTATGGATGTGGACCCATGTGCTGTCAATTAATGCTAAAATTGCTCTTTTACAAGGCATGGGATCGATTTGAACCCAGCTAGGGCAGTGGAGGCCGGGTATTAAGGTCATAGGAGTGTATTGCTAAACAGAAATAGGAAGTACATCCCTAGTTGAAAATCCAATGTAGGGAGACAGTATCACAATTTCCGCATATTCTAATGTTTAATATTAAACTGATGAATATTGTATGCTTATTATTGACAGAACAGTGTGTTCTTTAAATATTAAAGTATTGCAAAGCAATCCAGGCATTAATTCAGTTGTTTTATAATCAATGAGTCACATGTGTCCATTTTTCTGTACTTCAGGAAACCGGCTACCTATTTCACTATTGTGAAGTTTTTCAAGAATGATAACTCTTGCATGCAATTACTATGTGTATATGGTTTTATTATAAAATGTCAATTTTTAATCGTTTATAGATAATTAATTTAAAATCCTTAAAATTCTGACAACCTATATTTTTTTGGTGGCAGAAATTTTTCAGTTCCAAAGCAATATAACTACAAAATTTGTATAAATTCTACTGAAAAATGGCGACACAATCCTATTACCTTAATATTAGTACAGTGTACTTAATTGTAGGTAGTGACAAGTTTTGATTACTGAACAGGTTGGACACAACGGCGCATAAGGTGGCAGTACCCAAATCGGATCGGTACCCAAATTGAATCACTTTTTGCAAAAATACTTAAAAATAAATAAATGTGACAACAAATCAGTTATAACAATGATGTTGTCTAGAATAGATAGCCATGCACCATTTTTTGACTACAGATAATTTCTAATTGTCTATAAACATATGTTCCTATAGGGAACACAATAATATTAATGAACTTGTAAGTCACTCTTTTCCAAGCTTTCGGGCTTAGCCCTTCGTCAGGGATCAAATGTTACTGGACCTCTATGTCACATCCATCTTGACAAACATGTTAATAACTATGACGTTGATGACGTCATAACACTGTTACCATGACGTCAACACAACACAATGACGTCATCAAACCATGACCTCACAAATTGGGACGTTATCATCATCACTTGGTATTGATACCATTAGGGAAATCAGTGTTGAGTTTGTTAATCCAAACTACAGATAATTAGTTTTTAAGTTCAAATAGCGCAAGAAAACGTAATTCAAACTCAAATGTCAATGTTTTGATAACATTTTTAAAAAATGGTGCGTGCGATGACTATGGACTATGTTTTGGACTATAGGAATAAATTCACATTATAGAAATACTTTTTGTCACATAAATTCTAAAGGTCATCATAAAATGTTAATATGCTGACAAAAAATATTAATTTGAAGCGTACGACACTGCAAAATTCAAGCCGTGATACGATTTGGGTCCCCGGGTGCTAATTTCTTTTGTGAGAACACCCATTGATATTCTATTTTTGATACAACCATAAATGAATATAATTCCTCTTCAGATTTTTCAATGATTTAATAAAATGATGGTTTGGTGATCCGATTTGGGTATACTGTCACCTTATGGGTAATAATCCCTTATTGGGGTAACAGTTACCAATTTCAGTAACAATTTTATTACTGAAATGGGTAATAAAGTGAAATAAAAACACAAAGTTCTTTTAAACACTAGGAGGAAAAAAAGGTGTTATTCTTTCAACTAAATCCAATAAATAACACAATGAAGTATATTTGTACATACAAAATATCAATTTTGATGTTTAAGTTTTTGTGAAAATGACAAACCATATCACTGAGTTTGTTCTCTCCATTCGCTTCAGTGTGTAGGCCTATAATCAATGGGATCATCCAGTGCAAATGTGACAGGTGAGCATGTTTTTTTTTCTGTGTGCTATGAATAGCTACTCTACAACACATTATTAGCAATGGAGTTGATACAATTTGTCATTTTCACAAATATTGAGACAACTGAATTAACATAATTTTGTGCACAAATGTACCTCAATGCTCATTGTATTTTTTATTGGATTATGTTTATAGAATGAGGCAATTTTTTGTTCATATTGTTTAAAGGAACATTATGCGTTTTCATTTCACATTATTCCACATTTCAGTAATAAAATTGTTACTGAAATGGGTAACTCAACTGTTATCCAAATGCAGAATTATTACCCATATGCGCCGTCGTGCCCAACCTGCTGAAGTTAGGATGCAATGCTTATCAAACTAGGTAAACAAATATTAAATAGTCATATCTGGTCGTAATTATCATAGGTCATTGTCAGGTACAACGGAAAATGGAAGAACATGTAGGTGAGACGGTTAAATAAATGATTGTTGTCATATTACTCAATTCCCGGCTACCATAATCAGATAATTAGTGATTTGATTTATTTTTGTTGATGAATTTTATGTTGTCCTGTGACGACTCGGCAAGTGTAACGGAATCAAGTAAGAAACTAAGTATAACTGAAACAAATCCATTGAATATTTCGTTTATAATCTCAAGAAAAGGAGAAATTCAATCAAGTACGATTGATCGAAGGTTTCGATTACAAATATTAGACTCAATACCTGTGGCTGTGGGGTTGAAGTTGCCATGTTTTTCTCACAGAAAAGCTGACTCTGAATGTATTTTCGTATCCAATAATGATAAAAAAAATGAAAAAACAACACTACTAATTCTGTTGATGGATAAAAGAAATATATTCGATATCTTTTCATGCATTCTGATAAGAATTTTGGACATATATTGTACATTTAATTATACCATTCGATGAAATCTTACATACGAAAATAACACTCCAAGATGGCGTCAGTAAGTAATAAAGCGACAAATGTTCCAATCTTTTGAGTAACAAACTATGTTGTTCAAATAGTACAATGCTAATGTAGTGAAAATGCATTGACGACAAGTTTGTTTGCATATTTTTGATTGGAATCGTTAAAAGTAACCTCAAATACATAGGCATTTGCATAATATGAACGTTTGTCATCTCGTCCCATTTCAATGTTAACAAAACGAAAACTCGCCCCACTATCACATCTACGTTAAGGATGCCTACTCGGCATTCTGAGTTAAATTGTATTGAACATATTGTCCGGGGGGACTTTTTAAAGTTTATGAATGGAGAGAGCGATGGCCTATAAGTTACAGATCTAGAAGTTGTTTTTATCGTTTTGATCATATCGCGCAATATAATTAGTTTTCTATCAACAATTTATACATCAAGTTTCTTCTAAAATTACACCAAGACATTACCTGAGACTTACATACAATTCAGACTGAAGTAGTAAAGTCCATATATGTGACGCTTATCAGGGTTTTTTTTCCTCTAGTTTTCGGGCCTGTCCGAAATCCAATATGGCTGACATGGCAGCCATCTTTAAAGACATTTTTCAATCTCCTCAGGTTCTGCATGTCTGATGTAGCCGAGCTTGTTAGAATTAAATTGGAACGAAAGCATTCAAAGTGTTGCTAATTTTTTTTTTGGGGGGGGGGGGGGGGGGATCTAAAATTCAACATAGCGGATATAGGACAGCCATATTTAAACTTGCCTAATAAAATTAGTTTTCTAACACCGATTCACATTCAAAGTTTTTCTCAGATTGCACATCAGAGTTTACCTGAGAAGTATCGAGGAAGGCCCAAGCTTGATAATGCTAGCTAAGTTTTGTAAAAAAAAAATGTATTTTTTTGGTCCAAAATACAAGATGGTCAAAAAGTAAAACAAAAAAAAAGTTCTCCCTGTCCAATTTAGCCAAACCTTTAGAGGATTGACCAGGAACGATAGTCATCAAAGTGCTGCTAATTTTAGGGTGATTGGAAATTCAACTTAACAAATTTAACATTGCAGCTATGTTAGCCATCATGAAACGTTGTCGTGCAATAATTTGGTTTTCTATCAACAATTTGTGTTTAAAATTTCTCCTTTAATTGCAATGCAGGTATTTGTCTGGGTCTTACAAAGGAAAGTCCTCTTGCGATTCATACTTATCGTGGTAATTTGTCCTGCCGGCTCGATATTTAAGATGGCCTACCTGGCAGGCAATCCATCGTCCGTAATTTTTTGACATTTTTAATTTCTTCCCCAAATTACGGTTGTAGGATTTATTTGATACTTGTCACAGTGATCCATCATTGAAATACAGTGGTTACGCTCACTTGCGTTCTCTGCACTCATGGAGTATGTCATGATAAAATCTATGTCCATGTATATATACTCCAGTATATACAAATATCAAAAGAATCGCGCGTTAGACAAGTTTGATCTTTTGGTGTACATTAAAAGAATCGCTCGTTGCCGTAACGGTAAAATGAACTGGCATTGAAGTCGGCTGTCACTCCTCCGTTATCTTCAAAGGATAGGTATAATAAGCCTAGCAATTTATCAGAGTTTATTTCACATGAAAACAATCAAATAGCTAACAGAGTGCTTTCAATTTTGTCATGACATATTCCAGGGGTGCAGAGAACGTAAGTGGCCATAACCCTTGGAGTGTCGAGGGTGGCAGTGATCCTGAAATCATTATTACCATGTGTTGTGTTTTAGGTTCTGATCCTCCAATCAGCAAGGATATCTTAGAGTATATATGTAAACGACTTCCAACGTTAAGCGTTTCGTTTCTTTCCCCGAATGTTTGAGCTAGCGTTCTTTGTAATTTTGATATGTACCAATTAATTTATTCTTAAACTAGCATTTATTGTTAAGACCTGCAGAATGAATTCTAGCTAAATGTAACTCGACATGCCCTATGAGTCCAGGTCTGGTGTGAATGAGTTCTGTTTTGACGGTTTACACGATGACGTCACGTTAGAATTTAGATCATTAGATGGATGTCGGTGACGTTGCGATTCCGTAGGTCTCTGTACTGACACTGTCTATTTCTCGCGAAAAAATAATCCATCATTTCCTTTCAAAATAAAGATGATCAGTTGTGGAACTAATTTGTAGGATTCTGGCAATAACTATGTGTTTAATATTATCTCTGTGTTAAAGCAAATGGTACACGGCCATAGGGACCTGATAATTAGATATGACTCTCACCAAATACAACAACATACATACTATATGATTGTAAATTAACTCCAATAATACCACATGCAACTATTTTTTTCAGTTTTTATTTATCTTTTTTTTTTATCTATGAAAACAAATTATTATTATAAACATTAATGGGAATTAAACAAACACTAAAATATGAATAACAGAATACCAAAGCGTCAACAAAACCACAAAAGAGAGGAAAGGTTTACATTTAGGCCATTGAAAAAGTAGAAGGATAATAGTAGCAGGTGGTCAGGAATGGTAGGCGACTTCTGCGTCACCGATGACACCCGCCACGTAAATCTAAGTCAAATCTAAGTAGTGCCACGCCCTCACACCGAGAACTACAAGGCACTCTAATGTGCATAATAAAAAAAATCGACATTCATATCACATAAAGAAATAGTACAAAGCATATTTCCTTGCGAGATCTTGATGGCAACCATACAACTTGTCCATAGTCTTATTTGGTAACCCTGTGTTATAAGTCTTAAATTGTCCGTCAGCAGTCGCCATCTATCCCGGAAACCCTGTGTTGTAAGTCTTAAATTTTCCGTCAGCAGTCGACATCTATCACAGAAACCCTGTGTTGTAAGGTTTGAATTGTCCGTCGACAGTCGACATCTATCACGGAAATCCTGTGTTATAAGTCTTAATTTGTCCGTCAGCAGTCGACATCTGTCACGGAAACCCTGTGTAATAAGTCTTAAATTGTCCGTCCGCAGTCGACATCTATCACCGAAACCCTGTGTTGTAAGTCTGAAATTGTCCGTCAGCAGGCGACATCTATCACGGAAAACCTGTGTTGTAAGTCTTAAATTGTCCGTCCGCAGTCGACATCTATCACGGAAAACCTGTGTTGTAAGTCTTGAATTGTCCGTCAGCAGGCGACATCTATCACGGAAAACCTGTGTTGTAAGTCTTAAATTGTCCGTCCGCAGTCGACATCTATCACCGAAACCCTGTGTTGTAAGGTTTGAATTGTCCGTCGACAGTCGACATCTATCACAGAAACCCTGTGTTGTAAGGTTTGAATTGTCCGTCGACAGTCGACATCTATCACCGAAACCCTGTGTTGTAAGTCTGAAATTGTCCGTCAGCAGACGACATCTAACACGGAAACCCTGTGTTGTAAGTCTTAAATTGTCCGTCCGCAGTCGACATCTATCACGGAAAACCTGTGTTGTAAGTCTTGAATTGTCCGTCAGCAGGCGACATCTATCACGGAAACCCTGTGTTGTAAGTTTTAAATTGTCCGTCAGCAGTCGACATCTATCACGGAAGTGAAGATATCTGGAGCAACTTATTGAGTACCGAATCAACTGCGGCATGTAGATAATGTTACAGAGAGCGATATCCGAAATTTCACATAAAGATAGTAATTGAATGTCTATTGTCTTAAATCCTTCCTGTCACTTTAATATTGGAAAAAAGTTATAACCTAATATCTGCCACTTTTAGGTGACAACCAAATAATGCTTACAAATGTCCTCCGAATCCTGTGGACATGTTTCACTGTTGTTTCGACGCCTCTGTTCTCCCATCTCCCATCTCTCGTGAGTGGAAGGCACAGTAGTCCCCCTACTCCTATAGTGACCCAGAGTAGTAGAAGGTGATATTGTAGTCTCCCGTTATGTCAGCTAGGAATACTCACAGACGAAATTTTACATATAATGTCATACAATCTAAGATTCAGTATTTGAATGGGGTTTTTCAGTTTATATAACTAACTCATTTATTGTGATGTGTTCTGTTTATTTTGAGAATACGTAGGGCGTTAGCCAAAGTGCAATTGACATTTGCCTCTAAACATATTTTTATGCAATATTACAATATACCCGGTAATAGATCTCTTTGCCAGTCATTATATATAGAAGCTCAATTATGCAAGGGACTCATATTCCCATCAGTTGATACTCTAGCTCAACAGGTTACTGATTAAGATTTTCTGGATGGCATAAAACAATTGTGTTGATGTTCTTCTTTATACATGCGACTTGCTACATTGGTGCAAGTCGAAACATTCATAGGATTTTATTTGTACATTTTTGTAAGTATATCAATGAAACGATAATCGCGGCGTCAGGAAATAGGCAATTACCTAACGGCCACGTTATAGTTTAGTTTAAACATATTTTATTGCCAAAAAATGCAAGAGGATTGGGCACAAGTTACATGAACATTATTAACGCCCTTTCCTTATAAGATAAATAATTGTAATATGCAATATACGTTATATGCAGTAATAGACGCTGAATTATGTTGCATTGTGGATACAGCAAATTTAAATACATTTAATACACTGCAGGGTATATAGAAATGAACGATTTTGATATATTTTGTCATGCATTTTCTAGTTAATATATCTTTTAATTGACAGTTTGAGTATATATCTAAGTATAAGTACCGTTTCTGTGTGAATCACATAACCTTTGACACTGTGTTAGCGATGCCAATGATAGATAAAAGAAGAGCTCACTCACTGGCTGACATATGTAGGTCATGTGCAAATATTGGAAGGAAATTAAAGGGAATGAAAAACCCTGAAAATGATTATTTTAATTATATTATGATGTGATTATTGAT